CGCAAGAGAATCATCTTGTTTTCTGGATTATAGTTATGTTTTCTTACGTAACCATAACCTTTTATCATTTTTTCCTATAAGACTCTTCATTTTCAGTATCTCTAAACTCATTAAAAATGAGCTATAATGATTTTTTTTCAACAAAACGTAGTCTTTTAAAGAGTTTGATATATGAAAGTTTTTTTAAAGCCTTTGTGTTTAGCATCACTAAACCCCGTTTTTCATGGACTTTCATTTGGTATAAAATTCATCATACCTCCGACTCGGGATTATATCGTTACCCCCCTTGAATAATATTCTTTCCGACCCTGTATATGTATAGAAATACAAGAAAACAACTATATAGAAGGTAGCGTCATGAAGTAATATCCAATGACGCTAACAATGAAAGACTTCGGCATACCCGTGTCAATTTGGGTTATATCGTTCTTGAAAATTCATGCAACAACTTTTATTAGCGCTAGGTTTTAAATGCAAAATGATTTGATCTCACAAAAATGAAATCTTGGACGAACGTTAGCTATTGCTATGTGAACTACATCTGGTTCTTGCTCATTGAGAAGAAAATGGATGGGCAATTACCTCTTTTGTCAAGAAGTCATAACTAAAGAGCGAAAAAGGATTTTTTATTGGGATACGCATAGGAGATCTTAGTCAAACAGCAGTGTTTAGATATTCAAAAATACCGTAGTATCATCTAAATCACATTAAACCAACATCAACAGAAACATAGAAATCTTGGTAAATTTCAATCGACGATGATACTTTAGATGCTCAAGACGAGAAAGAGAGTGTGTTACGATACAAATAGAAGTTGTATTGTGGTTTTCCAAAGGACCATCTCCATGGAATAATGTTGTATTCTATAATTCTCTACCATAATGTAGCAACCCTATTCTGGATCTACAATATGTAGAGTGCATTATTTCACAATTTAATCCAATTACGATTATAAACAATAAATTAGCTTGAGAATACAGTCAAGTTTTCTTATTACCCTACATGAGTGCGGGAGATTGAATATCGCTCAGTAATAGTTTTCGTGTTGTGGAAGGAAAATGTCAATCGAACACTTATCTCAGCCTTTGGTGATGGTTTACGGTGAACATGGTTCATCACGTACGACAGTATTTGAATGGGTTCGTCATTCCAAAGATGGTCGATTAAATATTGAAAATGATCTATAGCATGCTGTCGACCAGTTGCTGCAACTCACGATCAAATTGTCAAAGTTGTTGAAAACCTAATCATCGAAATACTGTTCAAGAAATAGAATATGCTCTGGGAGTTTTGACCTGCATGGTACATAGTATTATACTACATCATAAATTACATATGACCAAAGTTTCTTCGAGATGGGTATCACATTTACTAACATCTGACAGACGATACGTTTTGAACCTTGGGCTCGTTATTCAGCTGAAAGAGATAGTTTTCTTTTTCGAATTATAGCTGGTGATGAACCATTCATTCACGTTTATCAATCTGAGTCAAAGCTATCATCAAAAGAATGGAAGCAAGCTGATTCACTACCACTATACCAGCCCAGATTAAACAGGCAGAAAAGTCAGTTGGCAAATTTTTATATTGTTTTTCTTCCAGGTCATAAAGGAATACTTCCAAAGGATCCTACACTGCGTGACGTAACAATTCCGAAGGATTATTATTCGAATCTTCTGATCGAAATTCATTAAGAAATAAAAAAGCAGAACCGTGAGGTTCAATTTCAGCTGGTATTGTTCTTCAACATGAGAATACTCCAGTACATGCATCGTTTCTTGTTTCTTCTACTATCCACAATTTACTATACGAATTGATTCGTCATCCACCCTGTTCGCTTGACATGGCTTCTAGTAATTATTTGTTCTTTCCTGTTTTAAAAGAGTGTCGTCCAGGAAGATACTATAATGATCGAAGTTCGTCAAAATCATCAGTATACCAGCCTCTGAACGGTATGTCTGAAAATGATTCTATAACTGCTAGCCGAAGAACCTTCAGAACGTTGGCAAAAGTGTATTTCAGCAGACAGACGGTGCTTCGAAAAAGATCGCATACATTAATAATTGTAATGTGTTTTGTTATAGTTTACAATGAAAACAATTCCAGAAATTACCTAACGCCCTACGAACGGTGATGTAGTCGTCGTAGATGTCGTTGTCGTCCAACTTGTAGACGAAGTCGATGATGTCGAACTCGTAGACGAAGTCGATGTCGTTGTCGAACTTGTAGACGTAGTCGATGTAGTCAAACTCGTAGCCGAAGTCGATGTTGTCGCACTCGTAGACGAAGTCCATGATGTCGAACTCGTAGACGAAGTCGATGTCGTTGTTGTGGTGGTTGAAAGAGTAGTTGTACTAGTTGTAGTGCTAAGAGTACCTAAAATAAGTCGTATAATACATAATCAAAATCACTTTTTATAGTCATTTGCAATGCATACTTGTTGTTACCGTTGCTGAAGTGTTAACTAAAATAAAAAAGCATAGTTTATTTTATTTTTTACAAAAACATATATAGAGCTATAGTAGATTGACTCTCATATCGTAACAATAAGTCAATAGTCTTCAACAATAGTCCGTTTGCATAAACACGAAAGAAAATATCGTAATTTTCTAATCGAATACGTTACTCTTCTTGGGATCTGTTTTTTTTTCAGCCGTCTACTCCTGTATCATCGTCGATGCTTACCAGGGGGACAAAAGTTTGTTACCGACAAAGGTAAACAGACAGCAGTTGGTGAACAACATGAATTAATAACACATATGGAATCGTTGGACGAACAAGTATTTGTCACGTTATCACAGAGTTCTAAAACTTAGCATTGAACACCTGGAGCACAATAACTAACATTGTTTATTGAACGATAATTGAAGCAAGGTGCTGGTGCTGGTGGTAAAGAACAAGTATTATTATCAGTTGAAGTTACATTACATTGTTGTACATAACAATTGGATGCCGGATTCGATGCAGAATGAGCTGCTATTGATAATGTAAATTGTACATCAACATTATTTTGATGGCACGAGTAAGTAGATGCTAGTGTTGCCGGCCCTAGGAGAAGGTTTTACAATGATAGCGAAAAGGAAATGAGTAGTCATACCTTCCAATAGGAAGACGCAGACAGCGACAAACAGCCGCGTTCGAAGCTCCATAAATTTCGGTGGAATGAGTGAAAAAGCGCTGTAAACAGAATCTTTTTGATTTCAAAGAGAAAAAATCTCTGTATTGGATTTGTTGTTGGAAACGAGAAAAAAAAGAACAATGTAAAAACAAAAATACTTCAGAGACCAATATAATTCCTGTGTTGATTCATTTCACAAACGGAACACTGTGGAAAAGAAAGCGTTATGATGTTTCATTTTCATTTTCCCCGGAGCCTTAGTGTGTAGTCTGGAGTGAGGATGAATTCATGATTTTTTTTATTCACTCCTATTACATTGTGTTTGCAATTGAATCACCAAAAAGGAGACGTCATTTCGTAAGCTGAAAACTGCACGCAGTTAAGCTCTGTTCTCCTCCTTGGATTTGCGTGTTTTTTTCGAAAAAAATCAATCTGATCGTCATGCGAGGCTCTTTTTATTGTTGTATCTAAAATCATTTTGTCATTTATAATATCTCATCAAAGAACAATACAAAAAATCTTAAAAACTGTCCGTGAATTCAAACGCTATCAACTTTCGTAATATCGTTAATTTTTTCCGATTGCACCAATCCAGTTTTAATTCTGTTAGATAAATCATTCACTGTGGTATTCCTTTCTTAGAGTGCGTGCTGATTCTATTCAAGTTGAAAAATTTCGACTCTGATTCAGTGAAATCTTTTCTAACCATATTACACGATTTCAAAACAGCTTTGACAGTAAAAAGCAATGTTTCTGTTCTGGACAACATACCTATTGGCATTGTAACAAATCCTGCTTGAGTAACACCAAGGATCTATGCTAAATGTCAATAAAAATTCGTAGCCAACGATAATGTTCGAATAGCTGCTGTATTACCAGCGTTCGTAAACTCGAATTCTTTTGATTTAATCGATGACTATTGAACAGCACGAGAAAAAGTTACACTTCCTCATCTTTGTGTTTGGATATTTTAGTTCTCTCGCATGTTTTCTATAGCTTGAAAATTTGCTATATTTACCGTTTGATTCTATGCATAAATGGGAATGTTTAGACTCCAATGGTCGACATGAGATATTTTATCCATTAGGAAATAATTAGCATTTTGCAACAGAACATTGTAGACGTAATTAAAAATGAAAAATTAACTGATACTTCCTCGTTCCTAGACGAGAAATTCCAAGATTTTCGCGATGGGGTGCTTAGTTACCGAGTAAAATGTTCGATCTTATCTACTGACACGTTCGTGATCAATGAGTAGAATAAGATCGTAATTCTATCCTATCGTTCCTTATTTCTTATCTAATGGCACGTTCTGACAACAAATTGTTTTCCTACTTAAGACATCATTCGTCTCCTCTCCAGACGATAACACACTATACTCATTCTCTCCAATTATATTAAAATAGTTCTTTCTCATTAATATCAATTTATATTCACAAAAAAAAACTATCTTTTTCATTCTAAATCAGGAGTTTGTCTACGATGGGTGAAGCAAGAGATCTAGGTAATCCCTATGAACTGCGTATATCCGTTTCAACGCGATTTTGGCTTTATTTGATTCCGAATATTTCATCAATTTTTTGCTCATTGTTTGTTTTGTATCATTTTCTGTTTGACCGAACGCTTCGTCAAGCATTAAACAATCATATAATGATTGTTCTTCTATTCATTGGGTTGATCTATGAAGTAACAAGTGTTCCACTGATGCTTAATTTTTATCAGAACGGTGATTCGTGGACATTCTCACCACAGTTTGCGCATTTCTGGACATTTGTTGATTATCTGTGTTATTCAATGCAAATTGTCGGCTTCGCCTATGCGTCAATCGAACGACACATTCTCATATTCCATTCCAATTGGGTATCGACAAGGAGGAGACGTTTCTGGATTCATTATATTCCATTAACATCAGTTGTGATTTATCAAGTTGCGTATTATTTTTGGATTATTCTTTTTCCGTTTTGCGAAGAAATTCTTCGTCAATCACCGTTCAATGGCGTCCCCATGTCTTGTGCATTGAGTAATCCGGTGCTCTACAAGTACAACACGATTGCTCATCAATTTCTTCCTGTCACCCTTATCATTATCTTAAATATTGCTCTACTTTTCCGAGTTTTATGGCAGAAATCTCGTCTGAACCGTTCAGTCGAATGGCGAAAACAACGGAAAATGACAATTCAATTGTTATCAGCATCGATTCTCTATTTTATCTTCATGGGACCAAGAACACTGTTTCAGTTTTGTCGATTTCTTGGCTTAGAAAGCAACGATATCTTAGTTTTATTTTATCACAGTGCCTTTTTCGCCAATTATATCATGTTTCTGTTTCCGTTTGTCTGTTGTGGATCGATACCTAAAGTTGGGAAGAGACTGGCGAGACTGATGTGTCGAAAACAACGACAAGTAGTCGTTCCTGGATCTTTACCAACGAATCCAGCAACGAAAAAACGCACAGGTCAAATGGGAATGACTGATTTTTAATGAAAGACGTATTTTTCGTGTTGTGAACCCTGTTCTGTCATAAATGTAGCTATGTAAAAAAATAAATATTGTCACTCCATCTTTATTTTACAGAACGACAAACATTTTGCGATAAACTGACACTGGGAAAAAATACAAAAATGCAAATATAAGTCTACGTTTCTTTCTGCGTTCGTATACAATTGAGTTAGATTATTAATATCAACATTTCACTAAAGCAGTGATGTCCAACTTGCTGCTGATGGATCTGCCGGTTGAGATGCTTCATCGCATTTTCGATGAACTCGATGTGTACACGATTATCAGTTCAGTTCGTGGAGTTTGCCGACAACTTCGCGACACTGTCAATTCCTACAACCGTTTTAAACTCAAATTCAGTTCGATAGAAGAATCTCGTCTAAAATTCGTCTCTCGTCATATTCAACCGTCAAATGTGATTTCACTCGACTTAGTTGGTGGTCATAATGACGAAGGATGCATTCGAGTTTTTCTTCAAAATTTTAACATTAATCAGTTCAATCGACTTCGTTCGCTGACTATTGAGCAAGCTCATAACATTGGATTTGCCGACCTGCTTTCAAATGTGTCCACTGATCTTATGTTTTCATTGACGATTAATGCACCTATACTTCGACCGGAAACTTTCTCGATTATCTTACAGTTAATCATCGGCACTAATCTTCGCAAATTGAATTTAAACAGTTTTACTTATAAACCGACTATAGTATCGTGGCCAATCCAGAATACATTAGAACAACTGACAATCGGTGGTTGTTCCTATGATGGATATCGTCTCATCGTTGCTAATTCACATGGCTTAAGAAAATTGATTATCAAAAATGGTCTTATGTCAGGTGTTAGTGAAGCTGTTTCTTCATATGCATCAGTAGGGCTCGATTCTGCAAAGAGACAACGCATTTCCAACGATTCTCAAGGTAAACTAATTTGATTACGTTACCTCAATTCAGCTAGTCAATAAAATGACAAATGTTTACTTTTTATTTAGTATTGGATTCACAATTATCTTCATTGACTATTGAAAGCTGTCGAATCTTAACTCAACATCTCGAATGTTACCTTTCGTTGACACGTTCGCTTGTTCATATGAAACTGGTTCTGTCCAGATCAACACTTGATTCGTTATTTGAAGGTTCTTTTTGGGAACAATTGATTCGAAATAATTTACCTGTATTGATTAAGTTTGAGTTTTGTCTCACTTGCGAAAACATTGAATTTAATGCTGAATCTACTTTTGACTCAATTGTTTCGCCATTTCAAAGTCCATTCTGGCTTCAGGATAAGAAATGGTTTGTTGCCTGTGATTACATTTTACGAACATCTGAACTTGTGCTTTATACGACACCAATCTGTGTGAAAACGGGAAGAGAATGGACAACATTGAGAGCATCATCGCTAAGTCCAAAGTGTTATTGTCACTTAGGCTGGTGCGAAAATCAATTTGATCCTATTGAGTCGAAAGTAAGTAAAATGTATTAGAACGCATCTGTAGTTGAACATTCGACACGTAGATGATCTATCGATGTTCGTCATTAATCGTAATATTGATTTTCTTTGCAATTGCTATAGACTTTTTCCAAAATGAACCTTGTATCCAGCAAGATTAGCGACAACATCCTGCAGTATATAACATTGGCACTACTCGATCAAAAAGTAACCAATTCATTAAGATAATATTCACTTCTTTGTTTTCATTCAGACCATAAAAACACTCAAACTTTCCCATAATCAAATAGGAGATATGGGAGCTAAACAACTAGCCGATGCATTACAAAATCATCAAGTGAATATATTCCTTGAATTTACAGTCGATCATCCTAATTTTGCATATTCTTCATAGGTACTTACTGATCTAGATCTTTCCTACAATAATATAGGAAACGATGGAGCAAAATATCTTTACTATAAACTGAAAGACAATAAAGTGAATTATCTATGTTTCTTATTTGTCCGGAATAAGCTTGTTCTTGCGTGTAGACACTCACCAGATTAGACCTCAAGAATAATCCAGGAAAATACTGTCAATTTGTGAGCCTGAATTTTAGAATACGATCCTATGAAGTAATGCAAGTATTTCGAGTTCTTTGAGATGACTTCATCTCTTTTGGAAGGGACTCGTCGAAATCCGTTTGAATTCAAAATGTATCGATGACGATGGGATGATATTTCTATCTGAAGTATTATTCAACAGTCCAATCAAATTATTCTCACTCGATCTTTCCCATAATGAAATTGGAGACAGTGGAGTGCAACGATTAGCCGATACATTACGAAACAATCAAGTGAGATTTCATTTCAGTAGCCTGAAATTTCATTTGTGTTTCATTTTAGATACTATGCACACTTGATTTGAGCAATAACAAGATAACCAACTTTGGATTTCAGTATATTTATGATATTTTGAAAGAAAATCAAGTAAGTATTCACCACTTTGTGTATACATGAATATTTTGTACTCCTTTGTATAGTCTCTCAAAGAATTGGAACTTAAAAACAATCCAAGCAACTATTGTGTAGCGATGAGCGCAGCAATTAAAATACGAGCGAATGGAGTAATTGATTAGTAACTGACTATTCACAATAAATTGCAAATTTTCTCTACAGAAGACCTCGAAAATGAATCTTAGTGGGGAGAACATCGGTGATGAGGGGATAAAATATATTAGTGAAGCATTACACAATAATCAAGTAATACAGTTCATCAATCTCTTCTATCTGTATCATCATGATTTTGTGGAATTGTAGAGATTGATTGAATTGGATATTTCCAACAATGCAATTGGTGATATTGGAGTAAAGTACTTATCTGATGCATTAAAACACAACCAAGTAATTGATTTTATGTGACTTTAACATAACTGCAGGATTAATTATTTTTGCAGACGCTAACTAAACTTATTTTGAGAGTAGATCGTGAGAAGAAAGAGTGGTACGATTGTTTCAGCTATCAATCAAAAGTACTTAATCTCCTCTACTCAATCCTTTATCGATCATCCGTCTTTTTTGTATAGTCGTCACCATCAACCAACTGTGAAAACCGAATCAGTGAGGAAGGCACAAAATACTTAGCTGATGCATTAGAAACGAATAAAGTAAACCGTATACAATTCTAACTGTACATCCATCATAAATTTATAATTAGACCTTGAGAAATCTTGATCTCTCCGGAAACCGAACTGGAGATGCTGGCGTGAAATATCTCGCCAATTCATTACAAAAGAATCAATTAAAAGAACTGATACTTGCAAATCAATATAAAAACTATCAAATCGGCGATCTTGGTGCACAATATTTAGCTGATGCATTAAAACAGAATACCGTTAAGTATTTTCTTACACTCGACACTCTCATTTTCATCTTTATTCTAATTTATAAAGTGCTTAACAAAGCTGGATCTTTCTTCAAATCAAATTGGTGATACCGGCGCACAGTATTTAGCCGATGCGCTACGAAATAACCAAGTAACAGATTCATCATACTTTCTATAAATGCACTCAGCATTGCAAATTTCTTTCACAGACATTGATCACGCTGAATCTTGAAAGTAATCTAATACAGAATACTGGTTTGGAATATTTACACAACGCCCTCAAAGATAATCAAGTCAGCTTACCATAAGATCCTTTATATTTAATCAGACTTTGTTCTTTTGTATAGACACTTAAGGAACTAAAACTCGCTAAGAATCCTGGTAGCTTTGGTATGGCAGTGAGTGCGGCAATTCAAATACGGAATAATCAGGCGATCACGACAATTAGTGTCCAATGTGGCAGTATTGATGATGAAAGTATTAAGTTTGTGAGTGAAGCTTTACTTCACAACCAAGTGAGATAAATCATATATTTCTTTGGTTAATTCTCACGTGTATTCGTTGTATGATAGACGTTGATCGAATTGAATCTTTCGTCTAATAAACTTGGTGATATTGCAATGCGAAATCTATGCAATGTGTTGCAAAATAATACCGTAAACAACTTCTTTCGAATTAACATATCTGATGATAAGAAGGGTCTTTCTCAATAGACACTTACCTCAATTGATGTTTCAGGGAATCAATTTGGAGATAACGGAGTGAAATATCTGGCTGATGTCTTGAAAAACAGCAAAGTAATGGATTCTCTTTGATTTTGCCTATTGTTCGACTTTTAATCTGCAGACGCTCATCAAGTTAATTGTCAACAGTTACGATTTCAATGATAATCGTCGAGTCAGTGACATTGGAGCACGATACTTAGCTGAAGCTCTGAAAACCAATAAAGTAGTATCATTTGACTTGCTTGTTGTTTTCACTGAAATGAACACTTGATTTTCTACAGACATTACAAGAATTAGAGTTAAATATGAATCCCAGAGGATATTGTGCAGTTCTACAAGAAGTTGTGAAAGCAAGAAATAAGGTGAAGTGAGAGCAATTGTTAAAGTCAGTTTCTAATCTTTTTCGTTATTCTTAGAACATCACTACGATAGACTTAGGTGGATATGAAATAAAAAGTGAAGAGCTACAATATCTGGTTAGCGAATTACAACATAATCAAGTATACGTGCATTGATATTATACATTTTAAACGAGACTTTGTTTCTCAAACAGACGTTGACCGCATTGAATCTGCGAGGTAACAGTTTGGGACAAAATGAAGCAAGATACCTTTCTGATTTGTTGAGAAACAATAAAGTAAAATATTACAGTCTTTCCATTAAGTTGATTTATAATCTTTTCTTAGACACTGAAAGAGTTAGACCTCACTTACAACGAAATTAGGGATACTGGAATACAGTACTTAGCTAATGCCTTGTACAGTAATACGGTAATACCTTTAAGTCTTTTTAATCATTATTTTCTATCTTTTATCAGACGCTAACAACATTAACTCTTGATGAAACTAAAATTGGACATGTTGGAGCAAAACATCTTGCCAATGCCTTAAGAAACAATCGAGTGATTTATTGTATTAATATGATTGATTTTTTGTTAATATTCAACTTTTTATTCAGACACTCCTTACACTTGACATAAAATCAAACCACATTCACGATATTGGTGTGCAACATCTGGCTTCTGCTTTGAGAACCAACCGAGTAAAGAGCTTCAATTTTATTCAGTTGTTTCAAAACTGATTTGTTGTACTTAGACGCTCGAAGTGTTGAAGGTTGGCAATAACAGCATCTCGAATAAACTACGAAGTCAGTTGACGTCAGAAGACCAAAGATGGTGTTTCACAATAGAACGTCGACGTCCTTTTGATGAAGATGAATGGCTTTATTATGAATCAGATTGATATCTGACTCTTCTTTTCGTCTCAAAATAAAACAATTCTAACCTAAATTTAATATTTGTGTCACTATATCACTTGAAATAAATCGAGAAGGAACATGTTCTATACGGTTAAATTAAGTTTGAATAGTTTGTTTTGCTCAAATTTAAATGATAGAGTAACTGAAATTTTCACATAGAGACACATTTGTCTTTCATAACAACAGCAGAGAAACAACCATTGGCTATTAGGAAGAAGAGTCATATTCGCGTTCGATATGAGTATGAATCCCGAAAAAATAATCTGACATGCATCAAAAATATCCTATTGACTGAGTACTCGACGATAATCAAGAAGAAGTATCGGAAAGTTAAAAGAAATCTAAATAATGAACAGCCAGAGCTTTTTTTTTCTTTTTGATTATAAAATATGAAAAAGTCACGGACAACAGGCAGATTAAAAGTCTGATCATTGAATTGACTCCATCATTCAAATTATTGCACAAAAGCAAGCGGATGATGGCAAGCTGTGTACGTAGCTGTCGGCATGGTGCTTTGTGGACGTAATTCTGGTTGCGACTGTTGTTGAAATCGAGGTAAATCCGAGTGACCTTCCTGACCACAGGGATCTGGTATTGTGCAAATACTTTTCTCTGTCTCTCGCCATATGGCCAAAGTCTTCTCAACAGCTGCAGCTATTGAAAATCCAGATGAGGCTGTCGCAGCAGCCTTTATTTTCATTTTTACAGACATCATGATAGAATTTGCAGTTGGACCGATATTATCTTCGTTTAATTGCACATATTGATATCCTAGTTGACCAGATATTTGTCTTGTTTCATCGGCATTTGTTTTTCCAACATGAATCATCATTCCAGCTATATTTAACTTGTTAGTGTGAATATTCAGTGATTGAGCATCAACACCAACAGTAGTTTTACATCCCGCATTGCGTTTACCATCCGTGAAAATGTACAGGAATCGTGGAGGATTGTCATAGATTTGATTTAAATGTTCGAAATGATCCAAGCAGTCTTTTATAGCATCGAAAAGCGCAGTTTCCTTTCCGACTGGCTCGAGTAACCCTAATTTTGCTACATGTTCATTATCCACCGTCTTGAATGCAACTCTGAATATCACGTTGGTATCAAAGGTTGCTAAACACATTTTATGTTTTGTCCATTTCCTAAAAGTTCCAAAGTTTATCTTTTTATTTTTTTTCGAACAAGATAACAAACATTTCTTCTTCAAAAATTTTCATCATATAATCTTTCGCTTGTTCAAATCGACTTCTACCAAACCATCCAAAAAGCCAATGATCAGATGATTGCATCGATGTGCTTGTATCAATCAGATAAAGATGATACGAATCGGTTACTGTTTCACTATAATCGTTGACAATGCCTACGAGTGTATGATTCGTGGATAAATCTGCTGCCTTTATTTCCTTGCCACAATGAGGCGCAGGACATGTGTTTTCTTTCATAATGCATTCAAGATCGAACGAATGGCCGCATAAATTATGGGTAACAGGATTAGTGAATATTTTCTTGCATAGAGCACACGTTATAAGAGATTTACTTACACTCATTATTTTAAACAAGAGAACAGTGCGTAGTATTTTTAAAGTCTTTCACCTGTTATCATTATTGCTAGAAGAGCTTGTAGATAACGAAAATTATGAAAGAAGTTTTTGTCAAATCACAACAAGAATGAGTAGTTTGGAATGTTCTCTTTGTCATAGTGTGTTTCATAAGCCTGTTATTATTCCCTGTGGTCATACTTTTGACGAAATTTGCACTCAACAATACATCAATTATCACAGAGGAACCTCGGCAAGCAATGAATTTGCCTGTCCGTTATGTCGCACTTTACTAGACATCAATATTCCATTGGTTTTGAATCAAAGTGTACGCACAATAATACACTCAAAATCAATAACCGAAGTCTACTTGATTGATATTGCAACTATGGAACAACAACAATTAGTACGTTCCTTTCTTGACCGCGTTAGTACTAAGAAGTAATTGTTTTTATGTTGGCCATACAATTCATTCGAAATAGTTTTTTTCTTATAGAATCAATTCGTCAGAAGGAACACAAGTGATCATTCAAACGGCGAACGGATTGTTTCCTGTACAAGGAGGAAATAAACAGAGTATCCTGAAAATGCCTATGATCGTCAGAACAGATATGAAAGATACTCTGCGCGATGCGATAAATATGTTACAACAAATGAAACAAGATGCTAATGTGAATACGTGTAAACTTTGTATACTTACCAGGGGTAATAAAATTCGGGTTGACAAGAATATGATCGATAAAAATATCATCAATAAATGTTATATCGTTCATGTTAGTGACAAAAATCTTCGTCTTGCAAGACAATTTGCTAATGATATCGATTGCCATTTTGGACATTTTAATCAAACAACGCTGGATGCATTTATCGAACATTTTATTTTTTATTTTTGACTTTTGTTATCGAACGCACAAAACATTTGTAATTCTATCATTTCATTTGTCTCTATCATCATACCAACGAAATAAAGATTTCAGTTACAATTTGTTTACCCGCGACGACAACGAAACGAGAAAACAACGACATACCTGTCGCATGTGTGTATATGCGAGAGCGCAGAGGAATGAAAAACATAGACGCCTGACAAAGAAACATATACACCATCATCGACAGTAACGAGCTGCGAAGCGCGATAAAAAAAAGAATTTTTTCATCACATTCTACCTTAACATCTAGAAACGACTGGGAAAATCTTCCCGGACAGACAAAACTTTCAAAAGTACGCGTTAAAATTGTACCATGTCTTTTACAGTTTTTTCTATTAAAATACGCGTATTTTTGAAAGTTTTGTCTGTCTGGGCCGTCTATAGATCGCATTGAAAAATAGCAAAAACAAAGCCTGAAGACGAGACGAAGTGCGGATTGTGGTAAATACTGAGAAATGCACGCATTTATTTACTTCATGACGAATCATGATACAAAATTTAGCCCAGTTATTTGTAGATAAATTGAAGTATTCAAATAAGAATGCCCAACCGACGTGGTGAGTTCAGATATTTATCAATAGGATTTAGTTATGGTGTTTCGAACATTGATATTTACAGGAAACACTGAGAGAAGAAGACGAAACAGAGAACAACGCAGGGAATCGTCGGAATGGAAAGACACAGGTAATATTTGATAACAAACAAACCAACATGAATGTAATTCTTCTAGAGTTTAAAAAAGATCGGAAGACTCCGGTAGATTGGTCTGTCATAGACTACAGTGACTATGACAACGAAGAAGAGGAATATCTTTCCGATGATTATTATGCATCAGAACAAATCACATCAAACAGTAATCGGCGTCCTACCATCAAAACGAAATCACTTGTTGTTCCAAAAACTTTGCCTGAACAGTCAAATTCGTAAGACCACAACTCTGTAGGAAACCTTATTCTTCGGTCACTTTTTAGCGTACATGTTGATGAGAAGTATCTTGATAGCCGTAAAGCACCAAATCGAATCTACAAGTAAATAGCATATTCATCAGAATCAATTAAAAATTCATTCATCTTTTTTTTGCAGGATCTTTTCCGAAATTAAGCCTAGAACTGAAGTGATGAAAATTTTAAAAGAAATCCAAGATGAAGAAGATCGTCTTCTTCAACTGACGGATAAAGATGGAACCGCGACGACATCGCAAATGCTTAGTTCTTCTCCTCGGCAAGTCATTGGAGAACATTTCAAACAAGGTACGATGGATATTCGTTCTTCCTAGTTCATCTTTCAGTGAATTTTCATAAAACAGATGAAAAGCAAGTATTAACATATTTACAAACATCAGCCCTTAAAAGATTTCAATATGGCATCTTATTATTCAATTCAGAAAGACAGGTAAGCGCCAGTTATTAGCTTCTATTTCGTACGAAAAATATGTTTAGATATTCATAATCCAAAATCATCAGGGTATTTGGAACCCTCCCATTGGTCACAGGAGAATCAATAATAATTATCAATTAGAAACAATCAATGAAACAGTTTTTCGCGTGTTCAACACACTAATTTGCGCGAAAAATCAACTTACCGATGAAACATTTCATTTTGATGATCTCCACGACAATCAACACACGGATTTTCATAAATATATCGAAAAACGATTGAACCACAATACTGTACAAAATGACTCTATCGAACAAGTCGGATTATTTATCAGTCTATTTGATGATCCCATACTTGAATTTGAATTACGTGATACACGTGAAAATCAAGTGAGTTTACTTCACAATAGTTTTATCGCTAAATGTTTCACTCCTTTAGACATGTCAATGGGTCTCAATCGATGATCTACTCAAACATAATCAAAACCTGCAATGCGATCTCATCCAACCGTTCGCAGAATATATTGAATCTCGAATGTTTGATTTGACTAAACAATTTCAACATTCGATGAATTTCGACAACGACGTTCAACAAAAACCTCTGGAAGATGTTGCGGCGAACCAAACTATAAACACACCGTGCCCTTCTCCCCTAACTAAACCAAAAAGATGTCTACCGATTAGCGATGATATTTTCAATCGTGCTTCCCAATGTATTACATTTGAAAGCGATGACAGCGTAGTTGCAGTTCAATACAACAACTATAAGCCGAAGATTCTTGCTTCATTCAGTATTACGCAGTCTCTTCCTGCTGATCATGTGAATATTGGTCAGTATAATCAATGCATTTCATATAGACTTCGAATTCCATGTTACGATCAGCCACAGGTGAATTCAACCTTTCCACGTCAAGTACGCAAAGCATTTATCCCTCAACCGGAAAAGACTTCGATTCTTCCAATCCTCATCGCTGCACACTGTCATAGAGTCGATATTCATAAATATGACGTAATAAGCGAAAGGAATTCCTTGATGAAAATCGCCTTGAATGAGGCAAAATATGTGGTGGGCGTGAAAAAAATCGACCAAACGTTATTTATCAGACGCCACGATAAGCGATCCATCGACTTCAACTCCACTGAATTTCGATTTGAACGGATGTGCTCACATGAACACCATCAACATCTCAGATTTAAACGATTAATTGAAGGACAAATTGGTGATTTTGCAACACTGATCACAGCACAAGCCGATGCAATTCATAGGCAAACGGGTCAAGCGATCAAACTGAAAAGCCGAACGAATGGGAACGATATCGGCAATCGAGCAGATTGTTGGCTACAAGCATTTCTTGGTAAGTTCGTGCAATGATAGGGAAATTTCTGAAATGTGATTTCTTTTAGGTAGCGCACAGTCAGTGGTTGTGGGTTATTGTACAACCGAAGAACCGCCACGACTCAGACGTATTCGTGAATACCCTACTCCAAACATTATTGAAGATGGTGTCAAAGGCCAAATTTTTGCACATCTTCATCAAGTATTACATTTTCTTCATAAAAACGTTAGACAAGATGAACTACATTTACTTTCTCGTCATTACGATCCAAATCTTGGAAAACATGTTCTATATCTTTATAGAGTGGCTCATCAAGATGAACAGCAATTGACATTTATTACACAAGAAATGCTTATAAAACTAGGTTTTCACTCAGAATAGAAGAAGACGACGAATAATACGTTTTAGTGCGAGACGATAAACAGAGCCAGTGAGTGTATATAAGTAGAATGAAGTCGAATGAGTGACACAGATAAGAAGCACAATTTGCGAATAAATCAAATTTTCCACAGCCACACGATATGAACTTTTAGGAATGTTGGATGTCAAACTAGCATAAGCACGATAAGTTCCAAATGGTAAATCCAAAACCAGAATCACGCAAACCTAAAGAAAAACATTCCGTACACTAAATGAAGTCTGAAAGAGCTTGCTCACTTGGATTAGTAACATTCGGGTTAGATTTCGATCGTTGAATCTGACCAACAATCGACTCCCGCTATTTGTTGTTGGCCTTCTCACCGGTTGAACAACTCTCGTTCGAATATTTCGGATCGTCATCAAACCGAAAGTCGCCAAACAGATACTAGGTAAAATAATATCAAATAACAACGCTGCCCAATCATTAAACATCCGACAAGGAATATTTCGACCGTAACAAAGCACGGGAACGTTCGGAATACTTCCTTCAAAACAGTAAATCACTTCCACAAACAAAAGACAGAAGAAAATGAACATTCCGAAGATAACTCGTTTCGCCATTCGATTAGTACTCAATTGACGAACCGTGATCGAAGAATGACTACAGAGATATCGATCGATATTCGCTCCGACGAGACACCATGCACCCATTGCCCATGTAACATTCAGAATCAATTGACGAACTTTACAAGCGACCTGATTTTCATTCGGCCAATTGACGCTATAACTAAAAACACAAGAAAAATAAATCACACTTTTCTAATTGTCTTCATCAACTAACCCTTGCAAAACTCGAGTTAAAAACCCCGACCAAATGAATATTAAACTCGTTATTGACGACCATGAAAGATAGACTGCACATGGTTTCTTGTGAAACGAATGTTCTTTTAACACAAGAATATTGAGCAGATTACCAATTGTTCCGAATAGGAGTAGCAGTGCTGCTCCGTGACGATTGATTTGCATTGTCGCAAAGTTAAGGGAAGAAATCAACTGTATATCAGATGACATGTCGCTCCTTTCTCAATCGTTGATTAGAAAAATACAAAAATGATCTTCGCTATACATTTCTATACTTTTTTTTTATTCACTAACGAAGCCACTTATACCCATTGCATGTCTATTCATATCTAAGCTGCGAGAGAGAAATAATTAAAGCAATTAGCTCAATTTTTGAAGCCATCATTAAATTTTAGCGCATCATTTTTCTTCTCATTGACGACTTAAACATAGGAAACTGACAATGAGTAGGGACCATTTGCACTTCAATCAAAACTTGTTGCTTTGTTTGAAGTTTATTCAGATATTGGATGTCAAGTACATTTCATCCAAGTTTATTGTCCAACACAGGCAATAGAGTACGGAACGCAAAAACAAAAGACATCCTATGCACGGACATTTCAGAGAGAACATTCTATAATATTATCTATTCGCCGATATGGATAGAATCATTGTCCATTAACGAACGACAAAAAGCAGGTAAATATTGGCTGATACTTGCAGTATTTAAATGAAAATCGTTACAAAAAAAACAACTCGATAATTACAATCGTTTGAATTTTTATTTTAGATTTTGTTTCGGATGCACTCCAAATATTTAAAAAAAATGAATTGCACATTCACAATGAGTAAGTGCAGATTGTGTTACCATTATCTGTTACAAGAGAAAAGATGAATCGACAAAATTATCACAGATGACAATGCTGAATTTTATCACTACTGCGCATTTAGTTTTGTTGCGTATAAATATACAAGTCTTACTTCTTTACACTTATATACGTATTTGTTTAAAATTTAGCAATGAGGGTAAAATGGTTCTTGTGAATATAGAAAATGTAAATCGATTGTTTTAGTTTCTTGTCTTCTTTCTTCTACTCGGTACAGTCTTTGGTGATTTATCATTGGAATGGGATAAATTCAAACGAGATTATAATAAACAGTACAAGACAGTTGCTGAAGAAAATCAACGCAAACAGATATTCATTGAGAATGTCAATCGAATGCGTGCTTTTCAACAAAATCATCCCGATGCCACATTTACAGTGGGAATCAACTATCTTATGGATCGACGCATCGAGGTACTTCTTCGTTGTAAATAATAGCAGATGGTATACTAAGAGTATTTTATAGGAACTTGCATCTGGAACGAAACTTCCTCGTGGAATTCGTTCAGTTTCACATGAAAAGCCAATTAATGTAAAAGACTTGCCTGAAACTGTCGATTGGCGTGTGAAAGGTGTGATCTCATCTGTCTTCACAGATAAAATTGGATTTGACGTCACTGCAGTTGTTAGCACCGGTAAATAGAAATAAACGCAGATTTACCACATGACTTCTCTCTCATCCGATAGAACTGGTCGAGACACTTTATGCTATTGAAACTGGCCAACTGATCAAAGGTAGTATTTCACAAATATTTGATTGTTGTCCACAACCGACCGATGCTTTTGACTGCATACAAAAAAATACGAGTGGCATTTGCCGTGATAGTGACTATCCGGCTACACTTGGTTCTTGCAATCTGAATATATGTAAACCATTTGCTACAGTTAGTATCTGCATTATTTTTCCAAGATATGAACATGAAAAGATTCTTTTCAATTGATAGTTTGACAAAATCAACAGACTCGAGGGAAAGAATGAAGAAACCATGAAGGCTTGGATTCAAGAGTCTACACTGTGGGCGGAACTCAATACTGTCGGAGAAGGTTTTCAAGAGTATACCAAGGGAATTTACGATGTACCTTCATGTACAGAAGGACCTATAGATTACGTGGTAAAAATATGATACAGAAATGTTGAGCGTTTATTGAAGTACGATTTTACTTTCAGGTGCAAATTGTTGGATACGGGGTTGAAGCGAATAAACCGTATTGGATTTGTAAACATAGCTGGGGTAAATCATCATTTCAGACTCAAGTATTTTGATTATTCTTGTTTGATTTTTAGGGAAGGATTGGGGCGAGAACGGCTACTTTCGTATTGCACGTGGCAAGAATATGTGTCGCATCGCTGAAAACGTTGTACAAGTCGCTAATCCGAAGAAAAGTGATGGTGTACGACAATCTAATTTCATTTCGATTCCGATTGTTCTCATAGTGGCACTTGTTTCCCGAATGATCAACTGATTGCGATTAGACTTCTATGTTATATTTAGTATTTGTTCAATTTTTCTACAAAAAATAAATGTTTATAATTATACTTGAAGATACGTTTAAAACTTGCTTGTTATCTTCCTGCATAACACTGTAAGGTATTTGAATATAGTGATGCAGTGCAGACTCTCCTTTCGTCATCTACACCCACGTTTGTCATTAAATTTGTCGATTAAAAATTGGACAACGTAACTTTTTCTGACGCAGTGGTTTTAAAAACCTGACATTGAGAAAATAAGCGTAATCGATTCAGAGAATAACATAAGATCACCAGAAGATAGTGAAGTCACACATTTGATCGATAGGTAAATGATAAAAGCAATTAAAACATCGCACATGACTCACTATTTTCGATTCTGTCTTGTTTTTACCATAACCACGCGAAAAAGTTGAATACGTAAATGCCTTGAATGACTTTCGCCCACTCTTTTACGAGGAATATGTCGTTATATATGATAGGGAAATGACATTTCATCATTGTAATTCAAAGCAATCTAGAAAATGGCCAACAATCATTGGAATTCAACAATGCTTATGAAAAATCACCATAAGAGCCATTTGGCTTCTGCACCTGTCAATTATACTTCAACTTCTCAGCCGTTGTTCAAGAGTAATATACACATGAGAAATTCTTCGATCTATCCTGGTTTGGATACTTCACGTCATCATCATCATCACCATCATCAGGTGGTTCGTTCAAATCCATCACCAATGATACGAGGTAATTAAAGACACCTGTTTTCATATCTCGACTCTATGATGTTGTATCGATCAGGGGGAGGAAAACTGTGATCGGTTATACATTTTATCGAAAACGTTAACCGTGAAATGATGGTATAGAGGATACACATAGACATATTTGATACTATCGTTCTTCTATCGTAATGAGAAAAGGTAGTTAAAATAATAATGTGTTTTTCTTCTAACTGTTGAAAATATCAGAATGTATTTTATTCAAAGGACCATCAAGAAACAATCAGCATTTAGCCGAACGAGCAGCTCACATTAGACAACAACGTCGACATTCTCATGCAACTACTGGATCAATGGGGAATGCTATGATGATTGGCGTTCCGCTCGTTGCTAATGGTTTGATGTGGGGCCTACGACCTGCACCTCAAGGAAATTTCGCAGGAGGATTTAGTAATGTTTTCGGTCAACTGGGTGGTACTAGTGGTTTAGGAGGTGTTGCAACTGGATTTGGTGACATTGGTTCTGATATAGGTGACATTGGTTCAGATTTGGGCGATATGGGGTCTGATATTGGTGATATTGCAGGTGATTTATTTGATATAGTCAGTGATATGTTTTGATGTGTCGTCTGGATTTCAGCAGGAATCGATATTGTTTTTTATTTTTTTATTTCTGTGGAAGTACGACACAAGCATTTGTGCTTGTCCTACTTCAGATTTTATCTAAAAACGACCGTTTTATATGGTCTTATTTTGTTTCTCTTTTATATCGTTTTTTTTATGAGATAACTTCAATATCAGAGAAGTGCGCCAGCTGCATGGCGAACATCGACGCGGAAACTCATTCAAGAGTAGCTCAGAATAATACTGAGATTGACTTTGTCTACTGAAGAGCTGATTTTCTAACAGCAATCGGTGTCTGGAAACACGTTTTACACACATTTTTAAAAAAAACTCAAAGCAGAAATTATAAATAATAATCAATTTGATTCTCATTCAGATAAATGCATGAAAGATGTTACCGAAGTTTATTCGGTAGTTTACCGGTGACGATAGCGGTTTCCGAAAACATGTTCACTATACATATAAGCCATTGAATTGACATTTCGAACATAGTTCAGTCATTTTCTCTGAATTTGGTGTGGTTATTTTTACTCTTTGATTCAAATGTATAAAAGTAAAACTCGTATTTACAGGTAAACCATGAGAACGAATAAAGTCACAAATGGTATGATCATTTTGTGCGATCTGTGGGTTCTCTCTTCCTTTTCGGACAATACTGTACATAAATATGAGTTGGAAAACTGATAATATAAGTAATTCAAGCATTATATAAAACATACTGGATGCCAGTTGACTTATAGTATGCCTGATGTCCAACAACCAACAAGGTTACGCAGTAGACTACTCAACGACTAGATTCAAGATGGCTGGCGCAATAACTGAATGGACTGAAGTTTTCATTTCCATCATTAGTGAATAATTCTGCCGAAATATGTCCTTTACTTCTAACGGTATCCAGGAAACAGTAACCATTATTTCAGGAGTCAAGGAACACTGATGAGACCATTACCTCCATTTAGTGCTATGCTCCCTGTTACAGGAGGAGTCACGATGCGGATGCCTTCTATAAACCAATGTCGTTACTTAGTCTCTAACAGACGACCTCGACGTGCAGAAATTTGATCGAGAGGATTGGGTGATATTTTCGGCCGATTGAGTGCATTATTTGGTTTAGGCGAGCAAGATATAGATGCAAATATTCAATAGAATTGATGTGGCTTCTCGTCTGCTTCTATACTCATTGACTTTTTTTAATGTCATGAACATTTGGAGAATTAATATGGGCTCACATGTTGAAGGAAAAACACAACGGTTTCGTTTTAGCTTTTTCTTCGATATATTTTTTAAGAAAAAAAAACAAAAGCGGTGCTAGCAAGTTGTTATTTTCCTATAGTCTGCACGGCAAAAAAAAACAGTTAGAATCAGAAGAGTTACTATTCAAATTAGACAAGAAAGTGAGGACTGCTGCAAATATCATCTCAAAGTTTTATCTCAATCAGAAATAAAAGATAGGATTCGAGCTTTCATTCTCATACTGAGAACATCATCAGGAACGACCGCATGAAAAGTTTATTGAGTGAACTACATTAAATTATCACAACAAGAAAGAAGTGAATAAATAAACAGGGAGATATCTATGAGAATTCATCTTTAAACAATTGTTCGCGATAATTGGCTGATTAGTGATGTTGGTTTTGTTGACGTTGTTGATGTTGTTGATTTTTGTTTCGTTGGAGTTGTTGATGTTGTTGATTTTCGTTCCGTTGGAGTTGTTGGTGTTGTAAAGGTATCAATAAGATGTGTTAATGAAATAGATATCATTTCGATTACTTTGTGAGAACATAACTGCTCACAAGAATGATGAGTATCATGAGATTGAGTCAATATCATTGACTCTTTTTACTGACAAAGAAACGTAAATTGACATGATGACAGAAACTAAAAGTTATTGAGACTGTAGGTTTAATCGATGCAATAGTGTGAGTTATTGCTGTTGAGAATGCAAATATGAATAGATGGACTAACGTGAAGACTAATACTCGATTTCAGAGAATTATGAACATGCAAGTCCGGTGAAAGTAATGCAGCTCACTTATTTGTAAAATGTGTAATACCAAGTCTGGCAGATGAGATTAATCAGACAAGGTTCTTATTTGATATGTAACTGAAGGTAAATAGGCTGAGCTTAAGAGTGGATTTGAGTTGTTCATGAAATAACATATAGAAGTGTGATCAATGAAATATTTGAACCTCAGCTTTTTATTATTGAACGAGGTCAATATAGATAAGACTGACTCGATGTTAGTGAGTATGGACATGAGTGATACTGATGAATTTTGGTAAGAATGAATCGATCTTCACAAGTGTGGACATGAAAGATACTGATAAATTTGTGAGACTGACTTCTTTTTATCACCATTGAGTAAATGAAATAGGAGGTAGGCTGATCGTGGTGAGATTATCATTATGGATAGATGAACAACACTTCTTAGGCTGACTTATGTTCGAAATTGTTGATGAGATTGATAGTGTGAGTGAGACTGAGTTCTATTGAGGATATATCATGTGAGTAGATGGACTGATGAATCAATAAGACTGAATCATATGATAATAACTTACATGTGAGTATGTGGAGGGTGTCGACTCTGATATTAAAGTGGAGCACGTCTCACAACATAACACAACATAAGAATATTTTCAAAAATCTAAATAGAACAAATAACATATACTACGTAAATGAATGAAACTAAACTGTGTTAATGACTTATTTGAATCTATGTGGAGAATGTCGACCCTGATGTTAAGGCAGAACATTTCTCACAACATTCCATCAAGTAAGTGCATTTTTAAATATGAATATATACAAGACTATTGAAGAGGTGAAAAGGAAAGAAAAAGAAGAACTAAATTTCTGCGGGTGAATGATTTCTGTAACAGCGCATTTCTCTTAACGTTGATTTTCTTTCTATTTCTAGTTATGGAAGATGTCTATGCAACGACATGAATGGTATGTTTTACGTTATTTATTGATTTTCCTAAAGCTCTACTCGATAAAATACTTTCTTTTATGACACGCTTTCTCCAATCGCTTTCTAATGCTAGTGTTTGAGTGTTCACAAAGTCAAATTGATGTTTATGTGTCAAAACGTGCTCTACTAATTCAGATTTAGTTGACAGAGTCCTAATATTCGCTTTATGCTCTTTCATTCGAGTTTCTTTCAAACGACTTGTCTCACCGATGTACACTTTTTCACAATCTAAGCATGGAATAGAGTAGACTAAGTTTTTGTTCTTTCTCTTCTCATCTGTTCCTTTGAGTATAGGTAAGAACACGCTGCTTAAACTATTGTTTTTCTTGAACGCAAACTGAATATTCAAATTAGGGACTAATTTTCTACAATACTTTTTAAGCTTTGCGGCGAAGATGACTGACTCTTGCCCATAGTATTTAATCGTAAAAAAGATGGTCTTATTACTATTACTATTAATTGTTTGATTCTGGCTTATTCTCCGAACAATTACTTCCCCTTCAACTATACCTCTTCGAACTATATGTGGTGGATATCCATTGTCGGCTAGTGTTTTTCTTAACAAATTGAGCTCTTTTGTTATTATCGATTCTTTGGAGCAAATTCTGTAGATACGTATCACTAGTGTTCTTGTGAGACCTAACTTGTAGCGACGATTTTGACTACTATCCCAGAGCATGTACAATCCTGTGTGAGTTGGCTTACGATACAGTGATGTTGTTAGCTTATCTTCTTCATCTTGAGTTACAAGAACATCAAGAAATGAAATTGAATTATTCGACTCAAGCTCAATAGTGAAACTTAACTTATCATGCCATTTATTTATCCGTGAGTGGAAATCCTTAATCTGTGTTTCTGGAATAGTAAATAGGCAGAAAATATCATCCACATATCTCAACCATACCGTGGGTCTATTTTTACGAAATCTATTTAATTTGTCTTCCATTTTTTGCATCCATAAGTCGGCTATTATAGGCGCTAAAGGATTACCCATGGCTACACCGTCTACCTGTCTATAAATCTTATTCTGAAATCGAAAAGGTGCGTCTGTTATTGACAATTCCAAAAGTTTTTTCATCTGTTCTCTATTGAAAGGTATGTCTATTACTTTTTTAGGCTTATACATATAATCTAATACTATATCTATTGCTTCTTTGACTGGCACATTTGTATATAGACTTTCTACATCAAAACTACATTTTATATATGTCTTATTCGTCTCGAGTACTATTTCTTTGATCTTTTTTACGAACTCAAACGAATCTTTAATATAGGATGGAGCCTGTGGACGAGCAGTTCTAATCGCTTTAGCTAGATATTTCGATAATTCATACTGATAGCTTCCTATAGTTGATATAATTGGTCGTAAAGGGTATCCTGCTTTATGCGCTTTAGGAAGTCCATAAAAGACTGAAATAGACGAACATGTTGACTTTAACTGGTAACGAAGTTTACTATCTATTATTTTATCTTTGTGCAGAGAAGAAATATACTTATTCAATTCGTCTTCTCGTTCTTGATGAAACTTATCGTTATCTAATTGTTGAAATTGTTCACCTTTTAATATATCTTCAGCTTTTTTAATATATACCTCTCGATCTAAAATAACTATGCTATTACCTTTATCTGCCTTACATATGACTATATTCTTATTCGATTTTAATGACTTTAATGCGACCAATTCTTCATCAGATAGGTTGTTGATTTTCTTATGTTTAGACGCTCTCATGAGTTGTTGTGAAGCATTCTGTATCTGTTGACAAACTAATCGAAAAACTGAACTATGACAATGCGGCTGTAACTTCATAGCGTTTAGTTCTAAATCTGCTTCAAAATCTAGGAAATTCTTAACCTTATTCTCGATGCAAAACTCCCAACCTCGACATAGCAATCTTTCTTCTACTTCAGACAGTGTATACGATGACATGTTATGAATTAATTTATGTTTCATTTCTTCATAATTTTGTCCAATCGGACCTCCATTTAATCTCTCCAACTTATCTTTATGCAATTCCATTACTATTCTACGTTTCTTCTGTGCTGAATTATAATAAAGTGTTCTTACATTCTTATAATCGAAAACCGAAAGACGTGCTTCTAATTCTCCTAAAATTGATGAAATTTGTTTTTCTAACTGTCTCGATTGTTTCTGTCTCGTTTCAAATTCTCGAATAAGGCAATTTCTTTGAAAAGACTTATATTTCTCTGATGTTCTCAAGCCCGGTTTCCATAAACGTATGTTAAGGAAATTCGGCGTTAGATTATAGATTAAACAACATCTTAAAAATTCGACATCACTTTTAGCTTTCTGTAGTTTCTCGCTTAACTTTTCACAGTGTCGTATACTTACCAGAGTCGATTCGCCATACTTGATACGAAGATTAGAAATAAAGGAAGGAGGAAGAGCAGTAGGAAATAAATTAGACAAGAAAGTGAAGACTGCTGCAAATATCATCTCAAAGTTTTATCTCAATCAGAAATAAAAGATAGGATTCGAGCTTTTATTCTCATACTGAGAACATCATCAGGAATGACGATATCAGAAAAATCATCTCATTTATATATTTAGTGGAAAAAGAAGAGGAAAAGATCAAAGTCATAGGTCAACACACAACAGAACAATCTGTACGATCAAATGGTCATTGTCGGTGAGAACAATCAAAGGAGCCGAGAACATTGTCAATACGACACTTTTAGATATAATTTTAAAACGCTATTTTTTATTTCTATTCAATCCAAAATTCGATCCTAATATTACTCATGCAAATATTATTCATGGTTCGTCATTTCATTGTATTGCAACACATTACATTTCTTCATTATTTGAATTAAAATTATGAAAATGTTCACTCAACAATCAAAAGATGTCATGGGTTTGTTCGAATCGGATAAAAAGAAAGAAAAGATTCAATGAAATGCAACTTCTTTCTTTGGCAGTGAAGTATCGCATATGGACTGTATCAGATTTCGTCAAAATTGAAAAATCTTATCAATCTCAATGGATATTATAAATCAGTGATGTGCGGGGCAGCTATTTTGAATGCCCCGCGGGACCCGACCCGCAACACTCGCTGGTCCGCTCCGCCTGTCCCGTCAATTAGTTTTCCTGCACCTTCCCCGCCCCGCTCCGTCCCGCTCATATTCTTACCCGTACCGCCCGTCCCGTTTAACCGTCATAGCTTCCCCGCCCCGCCTCGCCCGTGGATAAATTGCCGGGCCCCGTCCCGCCCCCGTGAAACCCGCAAGAAATTTTTATTTATTGATTAAGCTAATTTTTGATAATTTATTCTATATAATCAATCAAATTAACATAAGAAAATAATACAGAAAGTTTATAATTAATTATGTGCAAGAATAGTAGCTGATCGAACCACTATAATATCATTAACTGTTGATGGATTAAGATTGCTTCTTCTTTGACATAGAATTACTCCAGCACAACTGAAGGCACGCTCTACTGCAGCAGAAGAAGCGGGAATGCAAAATGTTCTTTTTGCTAATTTTGACAGATTTGGTAATAAAGATTCTTGTTCCTTCCAAAAAATTAATGGATTATTATTAATATCATTAAGATATGTGCATTTGGTCAACTTTATCTGCAAATACATGTCTAATTCGCCACAAACACTCTTGCAACTTGTAATATTACTCGTTGACTCATCATCAAGATCATCATCGAATTGTAGTGTATAAGATCTAAATTTCTTCTGAGGTGGTGAAGAAGAATTGGCAGCCGTTGAAGATGTTGCCAATCGATTTTCATTGTTCCATTGTTTGTCGGCAGTTTTTGCTAATTCACTACGAACTAACCCATAAGCATGAGTTCGTTCTACATCAGTTGCAAACTTGAGCATACGCGTGCGAGGATTGAGTACTGCAGCCATCCAATGCATATCATTGAGAATAAACATCGATTTCAATAATTGCCGAGCACGTGTTTTAAAGAAAACTAGACCTGTAATAGATTAAATTTATTCTGATTGGTATTTTTGACAAATCATTTACCTTTAGCTGATTTATCAGCTGCTTCATCATTTGTTACAGTCAAACTTTTCATTAAATACCAATACGATGTGAGTACAAGATGAAGAGATGGTGTTTTGGTTGTTTGTACACGTTCAATAACATGTTTCCAAGGCGAAAATAAACCAACAATAGCTGCTACTGATGGAATATCAATTGAAGGAAGAGTGTGAAGAGTACCCTTATCACTTGCAATGCTGGTTAAAGTTGAGTATGACGTAAGGATACTCTCAAGCAATTGTGACATGGTAAGCCATCGAACAATTATTTCTTGTTTGATTGTAGATTTTCCTAACTCCTCCAACAGAGGATTCCAATTCACCTAAATGAAACAGGAATGAAAGATTGAATAGAACAGATGATGATTAAATGAAAAAAAAACATACCCGTTTTACGTAACAACATAATTCTTTACATCGAACAATAGTTGCAAGTAGATGACTAGCATAATGCGGTAAGTCTTTCTGTAAAATGTTTATATGATCACGTTCAGCTGGTGTTGATAAACTTCGAAGTGCTAATTCTACTACTTTTGCATCAAGTGCAACATCTACATCATCGTCTTCACTATCATCGGAATCACGATCATCATAATCCATCAAACAATTATCATCATCACCGGTAGTAAATTCATCTAATGTCGATTGATCACTAGTTGGTTTCTTATTCGATGATTGTTTTCTGTTTTTCTTCTGATTTTTCTCTGCTGTACCAGCACTGTAAAACGTTCGTTTTAAAATATTGTTGAGCCGATGAGGAAAACAGTGAACCACTTGACAATCTTCAAGAGCTTTTGCTAAATTTGGTCCACGATCGCAAACGAAAATAATTTTATTCATTAAATCATCAAGTTGGAATCGAGAGAGTGCAGAAGTAATTGCCTATTAAATTAGAAAATGAAAAAAATTAAAGAATTTCGAATGAATATGATTATCAACCTTTCGAATATTAGGAGCGCGTTTATTTATTTCATTATATGGTTCACAACATAAATCGATTGTATGTAAACAATGATTATCATGAACATAATGAGCCGTCATTCCAAGATAACTATTTTGTTTAAATTTATCAGTCCATAAATCTGGACTGATCGATAAAACACCATCTTCAGCAGCTTTTCGTAATTTAACACCTAAATGTTCACGAATATCATTCGCTTGTCGAGCAATTTCTCGTGTAATGGTATATCTTGATGGAATGATATCATTTCCATTGACGTTCGAAAATGGACCTAATGAAGAAAGATTAAAGTATCAAATAATGAATGGCAAAAATGTTACATACCACAATCCCATTTCAAACATTGCTCAATGACATTAAAAAACCCGACGTCTTCAACAATACTAATCGGACGCATACTTGTACATATCCATGAAGCAATTAAAGACGTCATTGTTTTCTTTTTATTCGTAGAAGATTTATTGTCTTTCACATTGAAAGATAATGATCGAATACTAAAAACACAAATACAGGAAGTCTTCAGAAATACTGATTAAATTACCTTGATGACGGAGAGCTAGTTGATGATTCTTTAGGACACTTGTGCGAATTTAATGATTTTGTTGATCCATAGGTATATCGATACGTTGTATAACAAGATCGACATGTTGCATAGTCTTTAATAACAATTGTACGATCATTTTCATCTTTCACTGCTGGAAGAGCGAATCGATCCCAACATGGTGATGGTTTTAAATTGTTAACTTTGTCATTTTTCACCAGCGTATATTTTTCAGGTTGTTCTTTTAATAACACCTTGATGTTGGGTGAATTGTATACAATATTATTCGACGAATTTTTATTCGATGTAGCACAAGCTTTTGAAGACGAGCGAGATAAAGCTGATGATGTTGTACCATCAAATGATTCATCGGATGATAAATCATGTAATTCAATCATGTTGTTGATAAGAGAAAATTAATTTTTGATATTAATTATAGGAATCGAATGATATCAGGTTTTCGTTTTACTTGACAATGGAGCGAAATAATGAATATTCAAGGTGGATACTGTTAAGAAATAAAGATATACAAAGGAACACATAGATTTTTATTCATAGACTGAAAAAATAAACCAATCATTATTCACTTGCTCTGGTATATGTTAATAAGCGATATCTATTGTAAAATTTTCACGGTCCTTCATGCATCCCCGAAAAAATTTGCGACCCGCCCGACCCCGTATAAATTTGTCCCCGCCCACCCGAAGCCCGTCTCTCTTTGCTCACAGTCTTACCCGCCCGGACCGTTAGATATTTTTTCGGATCCGAACCCGACCCGTCCCGAACAATTTTAAAAATTTTCACACCCGCCCCGCCCGTACCACGTGGCCCCGCGGTCCCCGCGGGTCAATCCCCGTGGACCGCACATCTCTGGTTGCAAACGTGCATCGACTTGTTGAAACATGGTAAAACCAACCATTGATATTTCATCTATGATCAGAGATGAGCAACTCCGCGGATAACCAACTCCAACATCAAATGCTACTACTCCATTCCCATGTGATCTATCTCGATCAAAATACGCTTCGAGAACAGCAACATCACCATCATCTACTGTACACTCTAAATTGTTTTTTGCTGTTAATGATGAGACTAAGGATTCGTATTGAAATAATGATGATGGAAAAATTTGTTGTGTTTGTTCGTTATGTGAATTAACTATATATTGATACGGTAAACAAGCATGTTCTAAAATGTCGTTACTTAATTTGTGTATTTTTTGTACGAAATCACCAAATGAATATTTTGGTTCCACATTTATTCTATATGGTAAAATATTAACAAACATGCCAATAAGATTTATCATTTCTTCTTTAAATCGATTAGCCATAACACCCGATATACACAAATCATTATCTCCAGTTAATTTTAGTAACAATATGTAGTAACAAGCAAGACATAACGAGAACATGATTATATTGTTTGTTGAAGTAAATAAAATCATTTCATCAACAATGCTTTGATCAAAAGAAAATCTACTTGAATAGCTACGTCCCGATGCATTTTGCTCAGTTCTATTTTCGTTAGGTACGTAGCGGCATATTTTGTTCCAATCATATCCATTCAGCAGATTAGTCCAATATCGATGTGCTCTATTCATCTTTGAATCACTATTTCTATCAGCTAACAATCTTTGTTCATATAATGCAAAGTCAATATATTGTAATGTCGGTGGTGCTGATTGTTGATTTCGACTGGTCCAGCAAGCTTGTTGAAATGCTTTGATAAATGGTTTAAGGGAACTATTATCAAATGCTATATGATGAAAACTAATAATAATTAGATCATTTTCATGTAATGATAAATCATGATAACTAGCCGTTCGTTCCACTAAATGACATCGTAAAACTTTTCCTTTTTCAAAATCGAAATGTTTTTTGGTGGATTCCTATTGAAGAAGATCATCCAGTTGTTCTGCTGTTCTTATATTTCTTGTATGTTGAAATGAATAAATTTCGTGGGTGACAGGTTCAATGAACTGTTTTATTTGATTGCTTTCTGAATTAAATCTAACAGAAGTACGAAAAACTGTTTGTTGTTCAATTAATGTATGTAAAATCGAATGGATACGTTCTATTGATAATGAACCTTGTTTAATTATTAATGGAAATATTATATTATAAATTGAGAAATCGGAAGAATGAAAATGGATTTTCTCGTGAAGTCATATCCGTTGTTGAGAAAATGAAGCATTCGCTTCTATTTGATTGGAAATTAACAGTTCTGGTTCTTTACTTTCATTTTTTCCAGTCGTTAATCTTCTACGTGAAAACATTTTTGTAATAAATCAACTAATGAGTATTACCGATTGATTAAGACACTATGAACACGCAATAACTTAAAACAAATCTAGAAAACTCAACAGCAAATGAAGATTACGAAAAAACAAACCGATCTATTTATCATGCTACTCAAAGATCTACTGTATAACTCGTGTCAGATCTAAAAAATAAAGCCGTTGTCAAATACAATACCGCTCGTCACGGAAAAAAGTCAGTATAATTGGTCTTCGACAGAGAATTAAATACTAGATCAAAGATATCTTATGCTGTACTTTCTAAAACTTGAAATATTGAAAGAAAATCTAATTGCCATAGTTATCCAACATCAGACCATCTTTGACAGTGAATAATACAAACATTATTTCATATGATTAAGAATATTTGTTAGACGAATATATTGTTAGTAAGTCGAAAAATCACAATGTAGTTTCATACAAGAGCATTTGTATACATAACAAATATCGTACTATTACAAGTTAATATAGAATGATATGAAGATGATTTCTTATGAAGATATCGGCGTAGATAAAGTGTAAAAGTTTGAAATTCCTATGCTCAGATAAATTAAACACATTTAAAACAATTCAATCTTGTAAGGAACAATTAACTTTCTCTTAGTAATCTATGATTGCTTGTAAAGTAGGATATTTTTGGATAAATTATAAGATTAGAATAGAAGAAGAAAAGTTCAAATCTAACCTAACAGTTAGTATTCAGCAAATATTGGATAATGAACTCTTTAAAGTTGACCGTCTAAGAGAACTAATCGTACATTAACCATATTAGAGTAATTTTTCAATTGTTCTGACATTGCATGAGCAATGTTTTGTTCTTGACTGTCGCGAAAAGCCACTATATGATAAGGTCCACGAGGTTGAATACGGCGCATTTGTGAAATCATTTCTCGAGCACATATGGACACCCTGTCAGTGTCAGACGATGTCGTTGTTAAAGGCACTCGTAACATATAGATGGTATTATTTGAGAGCAGCTTGTCATTAGGTTCATGGCTCGATGATTTATTGATCAGGAATTTTGAGTGATCACTAAAATTATCATTTGTTGACATGTCAGCAATACAAAAAAGAATATGTAAATTGCTATTTTGTTGTGAGTTTTGAAGACAAATAACGTTCTCTACACCAGTATATGTTGATGAAGTAGCTGATTTAACTTTATTTTCGTTAAAATCATCAAAGCTTTCATCATTTTCTTCTACAGTCGATAAATTAACTTGTTGTTGTTGTCGCCGCTCATTTAATTTGTCATAAATGATCGTTCCAATTGCTTCAATCGAAAGTCCTTGTAGAAGATCAGCTATTGGTATAAAAATACTTGTTTCCTGTCCTAACCAATTGTATAATGAAACAGCACCCAATGAATCCATACCTTGACTAACAAGTGATTTATCAATTATTATACGGTCAACAGTGGGTGCACCTAAAAGTCGTGCTACAGTTGCTCGTGTTCGTTCAATGATATTTTCTTTTTGATTAAAATCAATATTTTTGGTATTATTTATTTCTGAAGATGTCGATGATATTTCATTAAGTTTCATTTCAATGTAACGTTTTTCAACAATTTCAGTTAAAAACGTTGTTGCTAAGTTGTGACGCTTTTCATATAATGTTTGCCAATTGACAGCGAAAATAACAGGATATGAAGATATCTTTTGATATTCATGAACACGTTCAATTAATTCGAAAACAGCTTTTGTTGGAACTAACTCAAAACCTTGTGTTTTTTGTAGAGATATAAGTGCATCTTTATGTCGATGGAACATACCAGCACCACTAACAGCTGGTAAACTAATTGAAAGAGCTGGTAAGTGGAGTTCGCTCATACGATAATTAGCAAGTGCATCGAGAAATTGATTTCCAGCATTATAACCAGCTGATGAGACTTCAAGTAAATGATTTCGTATCGATGAAAACATAAGAAAAAAATGAATAGGTGAGTGAGTTAATTGTACAACTTGATGAAGGATCCAAGCACCACGAACTTTTGGTGGTAAAACACGTGAAAGATGATCTTGGGTCATATTTATTAAAGTACGATCTTCTGAAACAACAGCACTGTGAAAAATTCCTCGAACAGGATAAGAAGTTTGATTGATTTTTTCAATTAAACTATAAACTTGTTGAAAATTTGTTACATCTGCTTGAACAACATCAACATGAGCATTGTATTTATTTACAATTTGTTTTAATCGTAACCAATCTTCATATTGAGGATTTGATGGTTGTTCAAGTTCAATGAGTGTTCGACGACTCATAAGTACTATACGTTTAACTGCACGTTCTTCTATCATCCAACGAGACATTGTTAAACCAAGACCACCAAAACCACCAGATATAAGAATTGTTCCTTGGTTGCAGACATTCCAAGAAAATATTCCGTCACTTTTGTCTAAAACCGGTTATCAAATAAATTATAAATGAAAAAAAAATGAATTCGAATACCTTTAAATGAAATCTGTTGCTCAGATTGTTTAGTTTTTATTAATAACGGTTGATCAGATGAAGTTAAACGAACAATAGTTTTGCCCATAGTTATACCGCTATTTAATCTAATTAAAGCTTCATTTATTTGATTTGGCTCGTAAACAACTGTTGGTTCAATTGCTTTTAATTTACGTTGAACAAATAAATCCATCATTTCTTGTAATAATTTTCTCGAAATATCTAATTTTTGAGCAACAAGTGACATAAAATCAATAACATGAAAAGAACAATCCGAACGTAAGTCAAACACTGATAAATCCGATTTGCCAAAAACATCTCTTTTACCCCATTCAATAAAATGACCATGATAGGAGAGTAGTTTCATCGTTTCTTTCAAAAATGAGCCCGATAGAGAGTTAACAATAACATCAACGCCATTCGGTAAAATACGTTGTACGTCAGTAACAAAACTCATATTTCGACTGTTAAATACATGTTCAATACCGTAATATTCACGAAGGAAACGTCGCTTCTCGTCAGTTCCTGCCGTCGCTAAAATTCGAGCACCAATCAATTGACAATATTGAATACAAATTTGACCAGCGGCTCCAGACGCAGCGTGAATGAGGATTGTTTGATTAGGTTGAAGATTTACACGATATTTAAGTGAATAAATAACCGTCATACAGGGGATAGACATACCAGATAGTTGTTCATAAGTAAGAGGACATTCTGCTGGTATACGTACGACATTTAAGGAGTCAACAATAATATGTGAATGGAATACACCACTAGCAGAAATACCTAAAACAATGTCTCCCACTCGAAATTGAGTAGTAGGACAGGAACGGACAACAGTACCAACAAAATCTGATCCGGGCTCCGTATCTCGATCAACATGTGGTTGATCTTGATCAGGCTGTGCAAATATTCGTGTATGTGGATAAAGACCACGTACTTTAAGTGCATCACGAAAATTGAGACCAACATTTCCAACACGAATTTCTATTTGACCTGGCAATAAATCTTTCAATCTATTCTCCTCAACCCATGTTAAATCGCCAAGAAAACGAGATGATGCTACACAGAGACGAAATGGATGCTGATCAGCATCTTTCCGAGGAATAATAGAAAGATTCTTTGATTGATTTTTGTCCAAATTATCATCACGTTGTTGTAACATTTCATAATGCCATGTTAAATGTTTAATTTGATTAGAATTTGTATCAAACTGAAGAGCAATTTCGCAAGTTTGATTGAAAGATCGACAATCGATCATATATTGAACTAAAACTTGAACAAACTGTGCCTGATGAATTAATGTTAAAGATGATGCTTGCAAATCAATTAGCTTTAATCGATTTCGTTCATATTCAGTCATTAAACTTCGAACAAGACCAATAAGTGGTGATGAAATCACATTACAATTTGAATTAAGATTTAATTGAGAGTTATGTGTAAGAACATATATAAACGGATAAAATGCAGGTGAAAGTATTTGTATTGATCGGAGAATTGATGATATTGTTCCACATATTGTTTCCTCCAGTTGTTTGAATGCAAAATCGTTTCTATCATGCTGATTTATATCGAGTGGGATTTGCTCAAGTGACCAAGCAAAAACAATATATAATTGTTTATACGTCATTATCATTACTTCGATTATCGAAGAAATTTTCTTCAAATTTGCATCACGTATGCTAAAAATTCGAACATTCGACGATGGTAGAAATTGTTTTAAATAATAACCAAAACTTTCATCATTTTCATCAGTAAAAAGAAGCCATACTTGAGAACTTCTTTCATCAAGTGTTTTCAATATTTGCTTTGATTGACTTTTTTGGCATAGAAGTATTGTACTTTCATATTCACTTGGGACTAACTGAATATTCGAAAATCCGTTGATTTCTTTACAGATCCGAATCCATTGTTGTGCATTATATCCAGAACGAGTGTTATCGGTAGATGACCACCATTGATCAATTAAACCAAAAATCAGATCAAAATAAAGAGGAATATCTTTAGTCAATTCAAGTAATATAAGATAACCGTTGGGAATTAACAGACGACGAAGATTAACTAGAGACTGTTTTAATTCTTCTTCGTTGCTTATTTGAAATTGATTCGATGAAAATATAATATCAAATGATTCGATTGGAAGTTTTACTAATGTTTCGCTATTGAATAAATCAATTGCATGATCATATATCATAGATATTTCAGTTATTTGATGATCATTAAAATATTTTTCAAAGATTTCTGCAGCTTGTTTTAGTTGAGCAGAATCTGAATTGACACAATGTAAATCTATCCGTAAATTTGTTTCTCTCGATAAATTATGAAGAAGATCAAGAATAGGTAGAATGTCAGAACAATCATTATCACTTATCCAAAATATACGTAAATGATGAATACGAAGGGAACCTTGTCGCAATCGAAGGAAATATTGAGTTATAATACGAAATATTTCTTGCGTTTTAAATGAACTAACAATAGATTTGATCTGCTGAAATGTTTCTTCAGTTTCTGTGTTGCTAAGAAACACATCGATATCAGTTTGTTCTCCATAGAAAATCTCTTTCAAACGAGAACCACAATCATTTAAAGCTTTTAACAGCGGTTTAAGGCGAGGGAATTGATTGTTTAATTGTGAAAGACGAACTTGTGTTGAATGCCATGTTACTTGTTCATTATTACAAAGTAAACTAAAAGATTGACACGCATTTAGTAACGGGTAAGATTGTTGATTAATAAGATTAAAATTCAAATCTTTTAGTGCCATTTGTGCATAACAAGCGGCTAATTCATTGAGTGGTTTGATTGATTCGATCAAATCTCGATTGCTAATGTCGTTTAGATTTGTATTGTAAATTAATTCTTCTGTCGAGGGAAATAAAGTAGCTAAATTTGTTACTATTTCTGATTCGTTCCATATTCGTGCCATACAATAATCTTTCATTATTGTATCACAATAGTTTTTGACATTTTTATTTGGTAAATCATTTATTGAATTTAATCTTTCAAATAAAGTTTTTTCTAATTTCCATCGACCAGTTTGTGTTCCTTGTACTTGTTGGATAGACATACCTTGGAAAATATATATTGAGTCATCTATTTGCATACCATTTGGAATAACAACCATATCAGCAGTGTATGTCTTTTCTTGATCTAAACCACATATATTATCATGATAATATCCACATATTTCTATATTTCTATATTGAGATAGACGAATATTTGATTTGTTTTGAACTATAAATTTTTGAATACTAATTGGTAGAAATGTTGTTTCGTTATCAGGCAATAAAGCTAAAATTGGATGGAAACAAGTATCTAATATCGATGGATGAGTTAAATAATAAGAAGAAATATTGTTAATTTCATCGGAATTATTGATTTGCGCAGTTACGTTTGTTGTTGTACCACGTAATGATTGAACGTTCTGAAAAGAGTTTCCATATTGATAGCCACGTGTGAGTAAATGTAGATACACATCTCTTGGTTCATTTGTTGACCACGTTTGAGAAGTTAGATTGATGCGTGATGAAATATTGAATTTCTGTTGATCATTATTTTGATAATCTATTTCGATTTGTCCATGTGCATGTAAAGTAAATTGTTTTAGTGAATATTGATTAAGTTTTTCTTGGTCCTGAAATGAATTAAGAATATCATTGCTTGCCATACCCGATGTTCTCATACAATTTGAGCCAGCAGCCGACCATGGTCGACTATAAATATACCATTGACGCATGGGCATAATGACTTGAGTAAATATTTCTGTTGATTCATGTTCAGTTAGAATAAGTGCGTTAACGAATTTTATTTGTTCAAAGACGATTGTAAATTGTTTCTTAACCGTTGACGATGAAAGTATCTCATGGCAAGCAGCTATTGCCAATTCAAGATAAGCAACAGCAGGAAAAAGAATAGCGTCTTGAATTCGATGATCTTTCAAATAAGCGTATTCGGGTAGATTAATATTGATTAGGCTTCTCCATGTTGGATTCAAATGTTCAGTTAATTGTCGAACACCAAGTAATGGATGATTAGAAGTACGATCAGCTAAACGTTTCATGACTGATTCTTTTGATTCATACCAACATGGCGTAAGATTAAATTTATATAATGGAAAATCATCGAATAGTTTTTCCTCATTGAAATAACGATTTTGATTTTCTGAAAAGGAAATATTACGAGTATGAAAATATTTTTTCCAGATTTCTTCCGATGTTGTCATCTGTGCTAAACTAGTAAGTAATGTTATTTGTTCATTTTCTTTTCGTTTCAACGTCGGAAGTATGAGTGGTGATTGGAGATTTATTAATTCATAACATTCTCGTATAGACGTTCCCAACACTGGATGTGGTGAAATTTCAAGAAAAATATTTGCATCATCACCCTGCTGAATACATTTCATAGCATCATGAAATCGAACACAGCTTCGTACATTTGTCCACCAATAGTGAGCATCAACTGGCGTTTCATCATTTAATTCATTACCAGTGACACTTGAATAGAGATGTGCTTGTGCACATATGGGATTAAACATTAGCTTGGAATCTTGTAAAGGAAGTCCTCGAATGTCTTTTAGTGACGAAAGCATTTCACTTTCGATATTAAACCGATCCATTTGATACGAATGAAATGCGTTTTCAATCCGCAGACGCGCTTTGAAAACATTTGGATACAATGTTGAAAGGATCTCTTGTAATTCATCAACGGTTTTTTCGTCTCCACTCAATGTTACTGAACGAGAACTGTTAACAACGGCAATATCAACAAGGTGCTCAATATCTTTCAGAAGTTTTTCTTTCACTTCGTTTACAGACATTGAAACGGCTAACATACGACCGCCTTGTCTTGTGTTTCGATTTTGCAGGCGTGATCGATGATACACAATACGTACAGCTTCTTGTAAAGTTAAACGGCCAGCAACAAAACAAGCTGCTTGATCTCCTGCACTATGCGATATGATACTGGATGGATAAATATTCCATGAGACAAGTAAAGCTGCAAGAGCAACTTGAATAGCGAATAGAGCTGGTTGGGCAATATTTGTGTCATTAATACGTGAGTCTTTTTCACCTACTGTTTCAAACAATTCTTTGAGCAGTTGCCATTCACCGTTATTAATTTTACTCATTTCTGCATCAATTAGTTGAATCCATTGAGTAAAAATAGGTTCACTTTCGTATAATTGCCTACCCATCGCCCACCATTGAGGACCTTGTCCACTAAAAACGAAACATATTTTTGTTGTCGGTACTGTTGGACGTACTATGACGGAAAGACCCGAAAAAGCTTGTTCAGTAAGAAATGCATCGATTTGTTCTTGAAGTTGTTTACGATTAGCAAACACAAAAACGGCTGCATGCTTATAACTAATTGTTCGTCGAAGAAGAAGTAGTTGAGAAGTGCGTTGAAGAAAAACATAATCATCATCAATATCAGCGAATGCTTTTTTATATAACCATTGATTAAATTCATTTATTTGATAATTTAGAGATTCGCGGGTTTTTGCTAAAGAAAAACAAGTAAATTATTTTATGACTTAAAAACATAAAATAGACGTTATTTACTTGAGAATATAAATATAAAATATTGTTTTATCTCATTATGATTCCCATTACACATCTGATGTTCTCTTCCAAACCCATTCATAACAATAGGTTTTTCCTTTGGTACATATTCCTCAACGATAGCATGTGTAGTTGTACCACCCATACCGAATGAGTTAACACACAGAGCAACAGGTTGTCTATTATTTTCATCTTCAGTTTTTGATGGAAATGGTACTTGATGTTGAACAACATGAATATTATAACGCTGTGCTTCAATTTTTGGATTCAACGATGTAAATAACATATTTGATGGAATACTTCGATGATGCATGCACATAATAATTTTGATGAGCGATGCAACACCGGCTGCTCCTTCAGTATGTCCGATGTTACTTTTAATCGAACCGATTAATAATGGTGGATCAAGTTGTGAGCGGTTGAAAAATCGGCCTAAACAATTTGCTTCAATAGGATCGCCAACTGGTGTACCAGTGCCATGAGCTTCAACATAAAAAATACGCCTAGGATCAAAATTTGTTCGTCCGTAAATATTTGATAGTAAACGTGCTTGTCCGGCACCCGATGGTACGACAAAATTATTTTTGTCTTCGTTTCCATCATGACTACTAAGAATATCATGAAGAACGCAATATATGCGGTCTCCGTCACGCTCAGCATCACTTAATCGCTTCAACAATAGGAGACCAAGGCCATCACCTACAGAAATAATTTTTTAGAAGCTTTATATACGTAAGTCGACATATAGTCCTTATAATTTACCCTTTGCATAACCATTAGCATCAGCACTAAACGAACGGCTTCGTCCCTCCGGAGATTGCGCGCCAATCAATGAACTTTGTAAAAAATTTTCTGGTGCATACAGGGCATTAACTCCACCACATACAGCCATATCAGATTCGTTTGTACGAAGACTTTGTACGGCTAAATGTATAGCTTCTAATGACGATGAGCAAGCAACGTCTAACGATACATTTGGACCTTGCAAGTTAAAGTGATAAGCTATTCGAGCTGCTGCATTATATAGTAAACTATTTGGCCCATGAAATCTTGATCGATATTCAGGTTCCATTCGAGTTGATGTAGTAGCATGGTCTGTTGAAAATTGTCCAATGTGTACAGACGTTCGTGTACCATTAATTTTTTCAATACTGTAACCAGCGTCGTCAATTAAGTGAACAAATTTTAACATTAATAATCGATGGCAAGGGTCAATACTGCCAGCTTCAGCATCCGATAAATCAAAGAAACTTGCTTCAAACATGTCCCATTGGTTATTCGATAGAAAATATCCACCGCGAAGTAGTTTGGCACGAAGTTGTCCATTATCCATATTAAGCATATGAGCAGCATATGATGTTAGATCAACTCGATCACGTGGTATTGTACTTCCAACATCTCGACTTTCTTTCAATGCATTCCATAAATCATTTGCAGTATGTATATCACCTGCGAATTCACAAGCTACACCTATAATGGCTATTGGCTCTAGAGCATTCTTAGACACAAATGATGATGTCATTGTTATTTGTTCAATTCAAAATAATTGATAAATACAGTGAATGAATCTAAAATATAATATATTACTCAGACAAATTATTAAGATAACACTATAAACTTCGCTCTATGCGGAAAAATCAACGATTTTCTTGGAACACGATCTGAAAGATAGTTTTGAAGAAGTAAAAGATAGAAATTTAAATTCTTTAGCATGACGATTTTTTCCCCAACAGAGATCGAGAGAGAATCAGACATCTTATGATACTGATAGTATTTGTAAAACATGTTAATATTAATTTTAAAGTATTTAAAAAATTTAGTGAAATAGATTTAACAAGAAATCAGACAAAACAACTTCATACTTATGAAGAAATCGTTTTTTTGTGACCGATTACTGTCATATATGTAATACTTATCCACAATTTCACATACTGATAGGGTTTTTAACACATTCTCTTAGGCAAAGTCTAGGGTGAAACGTATACTTATGTACTTCAAATCAGCTTCTCCTTTCCTCTTCCTTTTGGATGAAATGCAAAATATAAGGGCTTTGTAAAGTATTGCCGATAAATATAGGTCACTGGTAACTCATCCTCCAACGAAATTGAGCGTAGTCCCTAGATGGTAAGCAGAGTAATGTAGGTCTCAGAAAATCTTACCTTATTGACTGTTATAACTTACATCCGTTTTGAGAATATCATTACATCATGTATCTGCGATAGTACATCGTCTTAAACACGCGTGACGTGATGATGTTTTGACCACAATCTTTCTGCCACTGTCTAACAAAGCTGCATATTCCAGAGTTCACTTATAGGTAGCAATATGCATCTCTATCGTCCCTGTCGCCTCTAAAAAGCACAGCTCTCTACGAGGATGCTATTAAGAAACTATACGAGATATAAACCGCGTTACGCGATGACTAAAAGAAGCCAAAAAAATCCAGAGTGCGACTTTGATCTCTTTTTTTTCTGAGAATGTTTACAGTATAAAAACAATCGAAGATTCTTCTTGATTCCATTAGAGACTACTTTTATTAATGTAATGCTACCACGCTCTTAGAACGCGACTATGCTAGTTTCTTGATTAGATTTTTTTTCTGTACATATTTTGACGTGTCAACAGTCATGTAATATGAGATTAGTGTACTACCAGTCATCATTACAAGAAATATGCATTAGTTTTTGTGCTGTTAAATATTTCAATTCAAACATTATCGATAACAAGTTTGACAGGCCGACCTATCATGATCTAATTTCTGAAAGGTATTTTCAGATTTTCTTCATGAAAACACGCTTGAAGCACGAAACCAAGTACGCAATCAGAATCAGCTCGATAACCTGTGTCGAATATATAAGATTAAAATATTACCTTGTCTGAAAGAAATGATTATACAGCGGTTAAATCGTGGACTCAGAAAGCTTAAAGTTTGTCTGCCTATTTGTCTTATCCAATCAGAAATCAGCATTTCTTAAATTATTGAAATTTATTAATAGCAACCAGAGACTGACTACTAGTAAGGTTATCGAGATCGGAGAACTCGAATCTGTTGTTAGTTTTTCCTCACTCAGTAAGATCCGTCTTCTTCCTTTCTCTTTCTAAAACAGATATTTTTCTGTATCTTTTCTAAAATCTTGTATACAAGATAGTGGATGAAACGCTATTTCGGTATATAATGTGTGCAAAGATAGTGGTTTAGGTCCTTGCACGAAAAGATTTAGTATATCTTACATTATCGTATTTGCCATCCAAAAAATCAGAAAAAATAATATCTATTTGATATTATTTTTGCCTTATGAACTACGATACGTAAGATGTTTCGATGGAATTCTACGGGAAATAGGTTTCCAAAAGGTATACTTGTCAGTGTAATTGTATGTTATTCACTATGGAGACAACGGCTAGCTATGGATGACCGACCGTAGGGAGGTCGACGAACGACTAGGTGTCAATTTTGGAAGTTACTTGAAACGCGAGATTTATAAGAATCTCTTCAGTGTCCGGAATTCTTCGAGTTTCGAGAATAAGCCCCGCGTATTATTAATTCCTCGGATTGAAGGATACAATAAACATGTACTGTAGGTCACACGGTTATGAAGAATTTTAAGAGCTTCCGTTCCAGGGTGGCTCAGTAGGAACGAAGTATTTTTTTTTAATTTTGAATATATCATATTACTTTGTTAGGTATCAACGGTTAGCCATGAGTGGCCGACCAACTAGATGTTAGCGTCTCAGATTAAATTTGGAGTATACAAGTGGAACAACCTCATCGAACTTGAAGAAAGATTTTTAAAAGGGACTTTACGAATGCCCCTTCATGAAAATATTCAAAAAGAGTATCATTTCCATGAAAGTAGAAAAACAGAGTATAAAGATTAATGTGTAGCCGTGAGTGACTAGCCGGAGGGAGGCTTATGAATCACTAGCCATTAAGTGATGAAGTTTTTATTAAACATAGGTAGTACTTGAAAACTACTTCCTGACAAAGGTGTAATTGATTCGGTTCAGGAAAAAACAAGAATCTTCGCTTTGTATTAATTCTCGTGCGGGACACAATACCATGGTCTAGCTGAGAGCTAGTACTGATCACAGTATCCTACTTGTTTTGCAATGCATCTGAATATTTTCAACAGTAGAATAATTGTTTCAGAAAAGGTTCGTGAATCCATAGGGTGAATGTTAGTTGTAAAATTGAGACCTTTATTTTTTTCGAAATTTTGACCCCGTTTATAAATTAAAAAAGTTTTCATATTCTCCTGTGGACTTCTGAGTCTACTGTAGTATTTCACAATAATTCAGTTTATTTTGATGAGAATGTCTTAATGATTAAGAAAACGTTGCTTATAACAATTCTCGAATGATGCATTTCTAAAAGATGTTTTTTTTTTGTATAAAAAACAAGAAATGTACGAAAAAATATGGGAAAACGTCATCGCACTACGAAAAATTATTGTCAACGGAAATCTTTTAGAAGTAAAAAGATATTTATGAGATAGTTCACGCAAAATTAGCTTTATGTATATAGTTTGAGAAAAAAATTGTTGTGTCTTATTGGTGGAATTCGTACTATACTGAATTTTCATGACGCGATGATAATATAAACCGCATAGTCTTCGTTAACTTCGCCTGATAGAACCGTAAGGACTAAAAGTTCTGGTATTGCGCCAAAACATATATCTGGTAGCATAGTCTTAAATTGTTTTAGTCAGCATGCTATATATCTGATCACTCGAACAAACTAGCTGGATCAGTTGGAGTGATAAATAAAGACTTTATTAAAAATTTTAGTGACCTAGTTAATCTTGATTATTAGACACCACCTACAAACTGACTTGAAGAAAACGAAATGTACATTTAAACATTCTCGACTATACTCTATAAATGGTGACATAAAAACTATATCCTCCGAAGTGATGCGTTACGCGTTCAAGTCGATATGCCTGCAGATTTCACTTCTAAAAGTATTCTTGCGGGTTGAGTAGTAACATGGACGTTCTATCTGTTCTCTAGCAGTTACAGTCATTTTTAGCGTAAGAGTGTTTCCATCGAAGGTTTAGTATATGAAAAACAAAAATCTTTTTAGAAGCTGAAATTTTGCGAGTTTTATCTTTTCTTTGAGATTATATGCTGGTAAGATTTCATTAAGACGTGCCATATTGACTAAGCACTGCAATGTTTCGCGACTGTTCTAATTATATGTTGCTCAAAGAAATCGCATTGGGCCCTCAAGTTCTATGCTATGTACACATGAAAGATAAATGTCATCGCAGGCGGGCCAGCGAATTACCTTCCCGCCTGATAAAGCGTACTGAGGTTGCACGAAGCATAGACCCTACTTCAAGTTCTACCGGTACGTCCGATCTAAAGCCACCGGGTATTACTAAGAACGTTCTTGAAAAACTGAAATGAAACGAAAAGACGCCGGACTTCCCTCCAACTTTGGACTGGGCCCACAGAAAACTAGATCTTAGTTTCCAAAACCGAAAAGGGACAATCGACCTTGGGCGACGTTATAGACCACTACATATAACTCGATTCGCCCAGTCTTTATTAGCTTAACACAGATTCATCCACTTTTCATAATAAAAAGCTATTATCAAGATAAAGATGGTGTACGCTTGTAGAGCTGATTCATACACAACTGCCGTTAGAGGTAAACGTAGGAGATTGTCAAAGAGAGGATGAGCGATAGATGTAGGAATGTTACAATACCAATACAGTACTGTAAACTTAAGAATAAATTTGAGCAGCTATGATTGAGGAAAAGAGTAAGGGCTAGGCTGAAAATAGAAATGGATTTTTAAGAATAGTGCGAAGGGTTGAAAAAGAGAATAGATGATATGAATGAGTGACTAGACGTAAAACAAAATCATGGGTGAACATACAAAAGGTCTGGAACAGGAATACATCAGCATCAAACATAGCGGACTCCCGATTAACTGGGACCGATACATTGCTAATCCTGGGTAAGCTGATTTTCAGCGAACTAGGACCATTTGTAGAAGAAAGCAGAAATAAAAGGTTCGGGATAAAACCAGATTGTGTTCGAAATTTATGAAAAATGGCATCCAAATCTGCAATCTTTTATAGTTCCGATGCAATATCTTTTGTTCCCTTGACTGAAAGGAGGGTCATACGAAATAAAATAGTTTGTGTGTTTGTGTGTGTCGGGGTCAATGGTCAAAGGTCAAAAAAACATTTTTTTCGAAAATGCTCAAAACTTAATAAAACATCATTTGCGGGGATCAAGATGGTCACTGATGGTTTAGAGCTGTGTACGGAAGAGGTGCGGTCGAATTGGGTATAACACGCTGATAAAGCTAGTGTTGTCATTTCCCCTCAACGGGAACGAAGGTCATATGAACAAAATAGTATGTATGTATGTGTGTTTTTATCAACGTCAAAGGGTTCAGATTAAAGATCACCTAATATAAATACGTATTGTTTCATCATCGTATCGTGTCACATAACTATCCGGGTGTTGAGTGTCGCAAAATCGACCAATCAGAAACGGATGATGATAATAGTTATGGTTTCCGTGTGTCCTAGGCATTTGTTCAATGTTAGGGCACTATCCTGTAGCAGATTCTTCACTATAAATTCAATACGATATTATTGCATGCACAAGCTGCGTCTTGTCGTTTGGCTACTGACCATATATTACACAGAATGAACAAGACGCCATAGCGCCTATTCTAACGAGGGAACCGTCTCAACTGTCCAATCGCTTTTGAGCCGATATCTTGAGTATATGTGGGCACTCTTCAGACTAGTATAATCCTAGAAGGATTTGGGCTGCTAGGGACTTCGATCCGAGTTATATGGATTTTACTGAATTTT